GTGAGGGTGGTGGTGAGGGTGGTGAGGGTGGTGGTGGTGACTACGATGGTAACGGCGCCGGTGGTGATGGCTTAATTGATTGTTTTAATGATTCCGGTCACGTCAACAACCAGGGTCATTAGTTCCGTAAGTGTAGTGCATGATTTTGCTCGGTAGGCGGCGGTGATCTTACCATCAGTGTTTTGCGAGATCCGACGCCGACCTACCGTCGGCCAGAGGGGTTTTCCACTAACCTGGTATCTCCCAACAAAGGGGCACCGCCCCAGCCGTGACAAGCTCTGGCCGGTCTCCTGGCATGTATGCTTGTGTAGTGTGTGTGTGTAATTGGAGAGGATAGGACAAGAAAGAGGAAAGGAAGATCGCGTGTAGTCTGTTTGTTAGGGTACTGCTCCGGCATTCACCTCATGTTGATCGAAGAAACCACGGAAAACTACCGATCAGAGCACCTGGCAGCTAGAATTCTCCTTCAGACCGAGAAAATTCGACCTAGCTCACAAGCCACTGTCGAAAATTCTGCCACCGTCGGGACTAGAACCTAGGACTTCCCGGTCAGAGGGATTGCAGTATCATCAACCATCTCTGATGCCGTGAGATATCTCTCCCGGTGTGGTGATAGCGATGGCGGTGATTGTGATGGCGGCGGTGATGGTGATTGTTGTGGTGGTAATGGTGGCAGTAAAGATGGTGGTGGCGGATGTCACGGAGTGGTAGCGAAGGCGGTGGCGGTGGCAGTGGTGGTGGTGGTGCTGGTGGCGGTGGCAGTGGTGGTGGTGGTGCTGGTGGTGGTGGCGTTGTTGATGGTGATGGTGACGATGGCGGATGTGGTGGCGACGAAGGCGGTGGCATCTGTGGTGGTGATGGTTGCGTGTTCGGGAGAAGGGGAAGGAGAAGGGGGACGCAGGAGCTGCGAAGGGGCGAGGCGCGATTTTCAATTAACGAGGAGGACCCATTCAGGGCCGAAAACCCATTTCGGATGATAAACTTGATACTTTAGGGAGGAAGTGGTGCTGGAAGTAAGTGGTCGAGATGCTTCTGTGGTTTGTCATCCATGCACATCATGGACTCAAGCTGGAGAATTTTTCTACGGTACTAGATTAACCGGTTGAAGATCATTCATGCGTTGTTAAAATTTTAATATTAAAACAATCTCAAATATTAAATGTATGTGGCCAGACATCAGTGTCCTCTGGAAAGATATTTCTTTGATGGACTATTCAATTTTTCAATTTCATTTTTTCTACACCATATATTGTATGTTCGTGTGTAAAATATTGAAAATGATTATCTTTGCAATTTATACATATCACGAAGATTTTTTTTTTTAGTATTGGATAGTGAGATGCAGGTAGTAGGCGTGTCACAAAAATACTGGTCGTGTTTTTAAAATGAAATTTAAAATTAATGAACTATATAACTACTAGCACACTCATTTTGCCAATAATTCAATGGTTAACTACATGAAAATGATAAGGTTTGTGAATATTTGCAGTGAAATTAACAACAAACATAGATTATTGAGATTAATATAGTTTCTACTAGTATTTATACAGACGGCCTGAAGAACGAGGTCGCTAAGGCTGAAAAACTCGTAACTTCCTCCTGCCTGAAGGGTCGCTGGTTCGAATCCTGCCCGGATCATGCATGTTTGTCTGCTAGTGTTACCGTTACAGCTATTTACATTGGTCTCTTTAAGGCTTTACTATTTGAAATGCGACCTTAAATAAGTGTACAAAGAATAGATTTATATCGAAAACTATCTCACTTATAGATATCAAAGTTGAAAGGCTTCTATTGTTATTTCTGGTAGATAAATTGATATAAATCAAAATAAATTAATTTCAAATAGTATAAAACAAATCAGTATATATTAATTACATAATAAATATAATAACTGCAAAAAGGAAGGGTCGATAAAGTACTTGTACAGTAAACAATGAATTTTGGTCATCTTATATTGAATAGTAATGTTTGGCACATAGGCGGTCAAATTAATTCAAACTGGGCGCCACTTTTGGAGCTCATTTAGTTGGCTACTCTTTGAAGGGATTTTAGAAGGAAATTTCAAGCTTGGCGCCTTCGACATTTTGGGAATTCTCTCAAAAGCTGCAAAAAAATTATTTTGCATGAAGCTATTTGGCATGGACCTTCAATTGCCTTCAAAAGTAACCGGTAGATTGCACCACCTTCTGGACGGCTGGAGACGAAAAGTATCCGCAAGGTAGGAATTCTAGAATCCAATTGTTTTCATAGAAGACGCGAGGAGATTGCATTGTTTGAGAATATGGAGATGCGAGAAGTTTCGTAGCAATCTTGTAGAGAAGCTAAGCAATGCGCGAAAGTTGATTGGTACGTTTGGCAGTAAGCATTCATGTAATCTCCGTGACCCGCGCTCTCAGACGCGGCAAGAAGCAGAAAGCATGAATGCCTTAGAATTAGTAATGATAAAGTTTATTTTCGTCCAGAGGTAACCATAACAATATTTTCAATACTAAATGACTTTTACATTACTTTCACTTTTAAGGTTAATCTCGTCAATTATGACGTCTTATCAGGTTTTTTTCGCCTGACGAGAAGCAATTCAATGCACAGAACTTCTCTCGTCGCTGTTTCTACAAATCATCTAAGCAAAATTTCGCAGCCTGAACAGTAATTGTGGCCAACCATACTCACAAGTTCAGTCAGTCACAAAGAAGCCAATGAGAAACTATTTGCAAATGAAGAAAGAGTATCTGTATTAATTACTCGGACGCATTCAGCGCCTTATGAGCGTCCAAGTTAGAATGTAGCGAAATCATTTCACTTTTCACACATGACCGTTACTACTCACGAAAAACAGTGCAAATTACAAGAGAATGTTAACATTTCTCCACACAAAGTAATGTCATAAAAATATTGCAACCCGTATTTACTAGGCTGTTATTTGGTTCGCAATTTACATACGGCCGAATTTTCTATACTGGCTACATAACTAGATCCAAATCATC